GAAACAACACCATATTATGCAACTCAAAATTAAAAACCAGCCCTGCCCAGTTTGGCTCAGCAGTTAGAGCACCAGCTGTGGACCAGAGAGTCACGGGTTCAATTCTGGTCAAGAGCACGTACCCCAGTTGTGATTTGGTCTCCAGCCCTGGTCAGGATCATGCGGGAAGCAACAACCAATCAATGTCTGTCTGTCTGTCTGTCTCTCTCCCTCGCCCCCTCCCTCCCTTCCTCCCTCTCACTCTTTGTGAAGATAGATGAAAGAACATCCTTGGGTGAGGATTTAAAAAACCAAACAAAAAAAAAACACATTAAAACCAGTAAACATTTTCCATGGTATAAAGAAGCATGTCCCAAAATACTGTTTTTATAAGCTTCCGTATAGACTCTTTTCTCTTTCTGAAGCTTCTGTTTTAAGTTTTCCTTCTGTTCTTTCTTGAATACCCTGCATTTAATTAAATAAATTATAAGAAAATGCATTTTCCTTCAGGACTCCTAAAACCTGTGCTCCTTTGTTCAACATTGGTGGGAATCAGTCTTTCTAATATCATGTTACCCATCCCCATCCTATGTGTAAGAATGAGAAAGCCCGTGATCATATGGCTGGGGGCCATCTCAGAACCTCAAGGAAAATCAACCTGGGTCAACGTCACCACCCAAGTAAAGGAAAGAACAGAGAAAGTTAAGAAAATCCCGCAGTTTGATCCCACTGTGCCTGAAGAGTACTAACTGGAGTTTTCAATTATGTGAGACCCCAAAATCCCCATACTGATTCAGCTAGTTTGAGTTGAAAGCACACAAACTGTTACCCTCACAGTCCATGTAAATTGTGAACTTCAGCTCATATACTTTAAACAACTAAACCATCTAACCAACGTAGCTCATTAAGTGTGATCACAAAACATTTTTTAATCAGCAGGCTTCTAAAACAGAAAAAGGAAGAAAGAAAAAATATCTCTGCAATATGGTTTTCTACACTATAGATGCTGAAGACCCTATACTCTGGGTATCACAACACAGATTAAAGAGACATGGGTATGTTAAATTCTTTGTGAGGAGAGGAGTAACTTTACTTTTCCAAGTTATCTAACACCAAGTTTAAAAGGACTGATTATTTTCCAGATGTGCATTTTTTTTTCTATTTAGTGGACACCAGGCACATAATAACAGATGTAATATATTTTAAGCAAAATTCTTAATGTATTAAACAGATAGTCTGATTCTTCCACATTAAAAAAATATTATTTTGATAGGGCTTTAGTATTTCTTTCATCCCTCCATTTAGTGAGTAACTACAAGGATGCATGACATGCTCCTTTGATAAGCTTTTCTCAAACATTTTAAATGATTTAATTAATAAACACTAGTTGTGTTTATGTGTCCATTGCCAGAAAGTCATAATCAATTAAAATAATTCAATCACACCAAAAACCAAGATTAAATATTAAAGGGAGATGATAAGTAAGTGGTTGCATTATTGTTGTTTTTTTCCCTGCCTATTAAAAATTCTTTCCAAGTGTCTTGAATATTATATTCTACCATTTAATTTTTTACATGGCCATCTGTCATCACTTGATAGACTAATATGTGTGATCCCTTGCTAATAGTTTGACTCCTTTGGGTTGTTTAGTGGCCTTGATCTGGACTGCTCATCTATTTTGTTAACAAATAGTGGGCCTTGATCTGAATGCCAAATGCATGTCTGGTGAGGGTGCCAGTGGGGCCTAGTCACTGGGGCCTTATACCAGGACGTTAGGGAAGGCTTTTCTGTTCTGATGGCAGTTAATTCAAGAAATATGGGTTACACTCTGTCTTTGTCCTTGTTTCCAGCTGTGAGATGAGACTTATTTTCATTAATCTGGGCATTACTTAGGTGAACTGACAAGAGGATTACAAAAATTGATCAATTGCAGAATTCTGTAGAAATAATCAAAGTATAGGAAAAAAAATCACCAAATGTATCCTTCCTTATAATATAAAAAATTTGATTCTTTTACTCCCAGAAGAAACTTGAATCTGATGAACTCTTAAATATCAAAACAAAATGCATAAGTACCAAAGCCCAGGAGTAAAGGACAGTAACGAGAACTCTGGAGCAGTCTCGTCTCAGGAGAGGCTACCGGCTCTGCCCCTGCTGTTGGCTGTGATAAACCCAAGAGCTGGAATCAACAGGGAGACAAGGGCAGTACAACACCAACATATGAAGGGGTACGGTTTATATATAGCACGAATATGTAAATAAATAGGTGTCATTAAAATCTGAAAACATAACTAAAATCAGAAAGGGAAAACTAATTGAAAATGCACTGCAAGGAGTAAATATTCAAACTGAGGATGAGTGTATGTCCCCTAATGTCTCTCCATTACTGCAGAAATGAGCTTTGTGAATAAATTAATTTTCTGATACATTGGTGTGTTAGAGTACATGGTATATTGTTTAAGGCATAAGATTTTAAAGAAAAACAATGTGGTAGAACATTTATTGTATTTATATGTGAATAAGAAATTAATAATATAAAATGAAAATTTCATTAAAATGTAGTACATATATGTGGATAAATTTATAGATTACTTGTTTAGAGCTATTAATAGAAGTCAAAATTACAGAAACTTTTTATTACCATAAAGATTATATATGATACTAATCTTGCTTATTTATGCTTTTAATGTAAATTATATATATACATATATATACATATATATGTGTGTGTATATATATATATATATATGCTTAGATAATGGGATAATAACCAGCATACAATAAACTCAAAATAACTAGAATTACATTGTGAATTTAGGCTTAATTTTTGTGTAGTTGCTATCGATTATAAACTATACATTACTATTTTCAAAATTTGGTAAATTGTAATATTACTTAGCTTATGTACATTATAAAAATACTGATACAACAAAATAACTGACCTAAACATTCTTACCAGCAGAATATGAAGATTTGGCACACTGCCAGTGAAGTGAGTTTTGCATTCTCTGATAAATTCGGTCGCCATAGCAAGACCATAGTCACTGAGTTTCTAAGCAACCTAAGACTCCACAGACTTCAGATACTTAGGAGTCCACTGTTCTTTCAACAGTAAGGGAGAAATAGGAAAACTTGTGGTACCAAACTCAGTGGAGGACTTCCTGATTACCCAGAATATCAGTGACTCCCATAAAGTCTCCCTTGGATTGATAGCCATTTAAATTATTAAATAATAATATTCATACTGGGGAAATAACTGATTACTCGAAGTGTTAGTGGATGAAATTAAGTACAGAAAATTATCAGTACTTAACAATGTTTTGGTAGACACATATTTGCTAAATGAATAAACAAGGTGCAATATAGAATCCAATTCTTTAAAAACAAAGTCATTTACATAATGCTAGCCCTCATAAATTCCTTGCCTTTTAAAATAAAAATATATCTGTTTAGGAGCCTCGACCACATTCAGACCTAGGTTATACCTTTACAAGTGTAATTTATCATCACTGTAGGATATTATTCTTTGAGTACTTTTGTTATTAAAAATGAAAATAAATTCACACCTACTGTTTAGTAGCATTGCTACACAGCATGTCATCTCAATTTTTTTTCTAATAATTATTTACATTCAGTTAACAATTTTAAATTTGTAATTGCTTGTGATCTGATATTGAAATATTTAATTATAGCTTCTGTAGATGGCTTAAATAATGTCAAGCGTCAAACAAAACTGTACATATCTGAACTGTAAGCAAGCTTAAAAATTATCTCTTGAATAAGGTTATATTAACATTTCCTGTCCTTGTCTCCGTTAAACATTTTCCCTAGTCCCCTATCTTCACACAATATCAACTGAGGCAAATCATTGCTGCCAATCTCTCTTTTAATTCACAAGGCCCAATTTCCAACTAGTTAAGATGATCACAATGAAATAAACTAGAGGCATATAATATTGTTTGTCCCCATAAAACATAACACAATGCAGGTAGAAATAAAATCTCATTACTAGAAATGGTTATATGTGACTAGTAAAATAATTATGTCTGAAACCTGTTAAATTTTACCTAATTTTACTACTTGATTTTCTATGCCTCCCATTGTCATTCTATGTAGCTAGTTATTACCAAGAAAAAAAAAATTGTAGAAATTATTTGAAAGTTGAAAACTGGCTGTTGCTTAATGGTTAGTGTTTTAATGTTATTTCCTATATCCTGTTTGCTATTCCATCAAAGATACAGGAACCCAAGTCGGGTTTACAATATGATAATAGAGTTCTCTGATCTGGCGGTGACATAAAGTTGTAAAGTCATCTCTCGAGCAGGTCACAATAGCTACCTGTTGACTAGAGCCATTCCAGGAATGCCAGCAGTAGAAACTGCCTGTGAACTCTACTGATTACTGCTGACTATAAGCAGTAGGGGAGGATAGATTCTTCTTTCTCCAAGATTGAAAAGGCAGCCACTCTGCCTCACAATCTTAATAGCATAGAATCCCAAAGTTACATAATGATATTTATTATAATTGCATCTTCAGGTGAAAGTGACCATCTACAAGTTAACAGTTTCCCTTAGTATATTCTTAAGGATAAAAAATAGCTGCACATGAATTTGCCCTTGTAGTATGTTTCGCTATTAAAATATACCGGCATTGTTGCAATGTATATAAGTGCATGTATGTTGGAGGGTGTGGATAATTTAAATAATTTTGACTATCTTCTTATCACTTACTACTGCAGTTATTACAGAAAAGATCATAGTAAAGTTACTACACTGACCAATTCCTTCCATTTTCTTGGAGATACAACTTCTTATCTAAAAGATTGAGACAAGTTGCCAGAAAATCTATAATATCTCATATACTCTATTTCCTGAGAGAAGAGAAAAATGTAAGTATAGCTTAAAATGGACAAGAGCAAAGCAAAACTCTGATCAAAGTAAGAAATTTTAGTATTGCAGGCATCAGTCTTGATTCCTACATTGTTAGGCAAGATAAGTTTACAATTACATAGGCTTAATTACCAGTTAGAAGTCCGATGAAAAGTGCAAGGCCACCAGTGTTAACGTACTTTCAAAATGCTGGTTGGAAGACAACAGGATTGACACTGATGACTCTGGTTTGTGTTTGCCCCAAGTGCTGGGTCAAATCACTGCTGTACATCAGTCAGCCCCACCTCCAAGTAGCCAAGAATGGCTGTGGAATTTTGATTGGCACTCCAGTGAGGCAGTGGGATTCCTAAACCAAAGTAAACCCTGCAGCTGGTGTTTGCCAAGTTCTCCAGCTTGAAAATGAGCTACTCTTCACCCTGGTTCTTTCTTAAAAAAAAAAAGAAGAAGAAGAAGAAACAATTACTCTGTGACGTTTAAAAGAACACAGAAGCAGCTCCCTCTCCAGGGATATTCCTACTTATTTTCTCATAGCAATTCCCCTGACTTTTTTTTTTTTCATCCTGTGTCTTGGTTATAGCACTTCACAGTCCTCAGAGGAAGCACTTATCAACATGCACATGGATAAGGAACAAAGCATCAGTGAATAGCTTAGTTGTGGAAAGCTGGAGATCAGAGCAACATTAGGTGGAGCTTTGCAAAATGAACAAGTTCAGATTTACAGTAGTTACAACATTCTTTTGCCATATAAGAGAACTAAAATAATAATATTTGGTCAGTATATTATGCAGCTCATAAGAATAAAAAATTCCAAACAAAAATGAGGACACTCTAAAAATAAATCAAGTCATTACAGTATATGCTAAATTAGACAAAAATAATTTTCCCCATATCATTTACAGTGATACTTCTGTGGGGATTCATGTTGATGACAGTCATTCTCATACACACACAGACTCAGTGAAGATTTATCACGTGGCCACTGTGTGCTCACAACTCTGCCAGAAAGAGGAAGAAAGCATGATCCCTACTGTGAGGTTTTCTGCAATGTGCTTTGAATACTTCCATATAAAGTACAATGCGTGAGTATTAAATACTTTTAATCTACCTTCTCAAAGTGGGCAGCTACCCCTGTTGTGAACACTCATTCAAGACCTGTCTACTTAGAATGTATTTTAAGCCTATATTTTGGTTCTCTTCATCACCTAACATCTAGAAAAACACATAATAAATGTAATAATGATGTTTTCACTGGTGAAACTAATGGTTTCAAAGATTTATGAATTGGCTATAAATATTACTGGCTAACTCCTTACTCTTACATCACAGGCTATAACAACCCACAAAGCCCAATTGCCTAAGGCTCAGTTCAAAAGTGGCCTAATTACTGGCTTGTGATTTCTGGGCATTCTTGGTTGCCTGACTGTGACTGGATGATTAGCTAAATTCCATAGTTAGAATGCTAAGTGTGTGCCTCTGATGAATCCTCCATGCAAGAACTATTGGGACATTTAAAAGGATAGGGATAGGGGCGTTCAAGGAGCATAGAGAACAGGATGATCCTGCTTGCTATTCAACTGCTTCAATTAGAAGTCAATCAGAGAAGGCTTTTACTGTACCTGTTTTGGGGAGATGATCTATAATTCTCCTACTGTTATTTATTGGAGGCTACCAATATTTACTAAGAGAACCCAATAATAATATCAACCCAAATTGGTTTGGATAGTTTAGCAATACACACTTTCAAGGAGTTCACATACTAGAGATGTAACTCACACAGTTCCACATAAAGATTCGGGGTAGAAAACCACAAAGTCTGTTGGGTTCACAGCGCATCCATATTTATTCAGATATAAATAGCTATGACTCTGAGTTCAAAGACCTTTCACCCACTTCTATATATGATACATTTTTTCCTCTCTTGTTCTTGACCTTTATGTTGCAGAAATTGAAGGAATCTTAGGAATCAGTAAGTCCTGATCATTTAACAGTTAAGGTTTCAGAAATCTAGATAGCTGGAAATTCTTGTTCTATGTTGGTTGCCTCGGTGGTTATTAAGAAACAAGAACAAATCACTTCTTCTAGAATATGACTTTCTTTTTCTCCTTATGTTTCTATTTTTTTCCAATTATACCCTTTTTTGCAGATCTTTTTCCAGGTTCTGGACTAATATTTGTTAAAGTACTGCTTTATTTTTTGGTGTATGTTATTTTTCTTCTTCTTCAGTAATGCTAGTCAATTTAACATTAAGTTCCTGGATAATTGGAAAAATTTGTACCTGTTTTTGATTCCCAGTAACTATACCCTGTTACTAAAGTTAATTTTTTAAAACTATTCTGGTTATAGTGCTCTTTTGACTTGCCTTTTTTTTTTTTTTTTTAATTATCCTTATTGTTGAAAGTATTACAGATGTCCCTCCTTTTTTCCCCCACTGACTCCTTCCTCCTGGCTTTACCCCTCCACCCCCGCCTTCACCACGCTATTGTCTGTGTTCATTGGTTATTCATATATGTATATAAGTAATTTTTGTTTTATTTTAAATATTTAAACTTTTAAAAAATTAAATTAGTATATATAAAAATAAAATATTTCTATTTGATTAATATATTATGTTTCTTTCCTTTCATGTGGGACAACTTGGAAAGTGCTAGGAAAGGATAAAGGAGAGAACAAAGATTTTTAAACATAATACCATGGGTCGGGTGTCATACTAAAATTCTTCCATGTGTCATTATTTAAGTATACAAAAATAATTTATAACTAGGTATTGTTAGCCACATTTTCACAGAAGATATAAATGACAGGGAAAATTAGGAAAATTGTAAGATTTCCAGAATTAGCAATAAAGTAGGTGACCTTGAATTTATTCATCCGGGCAACAGGTAATATCACAATTTAGCCAGAAGTCATAGGATATATGATGAAGTATAAGCCTTTTCTTGCCCATATCTAAGTCTTCACCTTTTGTCAATATAACTCTCTCAGCAGATGCATTTTTCTCTGCTATGTTGATGTTTTAGAATTGTTTTCATTATTTTTATACATATTATAGATAAAATAACACATTTATTCACATAGTTATTTAATAAACTCTTCCTCCTTTGTGCTGACTATTTCTAGGTCCAGAGATTGTGAAAATAAATAAAATAAAACCCTATCTTCATGGAGTGATGGTTAGATAGACATATAGAAAAATTATTGCAAAATAATACAAGAGGTAGTAGAAGGTGGTTTATGTGCAAGACGTCTTAGAGGAGAGATGACTAGCTTCACAGAGGAATGAACCAATATCCCAGCTCCTTCATCAAGCATATGTTTGAGATTAATTTCCATGTAGCGACCAATACAGAGAAGGGGTAATGGCAGAGGATATTTTTCTGTCTTTAGAAAGACAGAAATTTCTACCAGAAGCCAGTGACTTCAAGGAAGAAAACAAAAAGTTGTGGCAGCAATGTCAAAATAGTAAGATGCGAGAAAATTCACTTGAAATTAATCAAATCCCTGCTATTTTCAGGAACTGTTAGGGGAAAAAAATGTAATTTTGCCTTAGTATTGACTAGCCATTCATATTACATTGCCAAAAGCTATCATTTTGCTTGTATAAAGAAGCCCAAGTAACAACGAGAACTTTTGCTTTAATACACAAAAATTTTACTGAAGTCTGAAAAAAGATAAAAAACATTGGATGAGTTTTACAAGTATCTTTGTTTTGTTATTTGGTACTATCATAGATAAAGAAATGTTCATTTAAATTTAGAAAATGTGGGAAAATATATTGACTATTACATAAACATACCAATTTATTTGGAGAATGAAGATTGTATATATAACTTGGAAGCACTACAGTAATTAAAAAATCTAAACTAGTTAGACTAAATAAATCAAAAGATAAATGTTTATGACAGTTACAGATTTCTTTGCTGCCTTGTGTAATATAAATTATAAAAAGATCTTAGTATATTTGGATGCCTCTTACTATGGTTAAAGCATATCATGTTATTGTGTGAATGTTAGGTGTTAGAGAAAGCATACATTCACATTCAGGTCTAAGGAAACAAGAAACCTGAGGTTGTATAAATACTAATGCACAATGAGACAAAAAGCCAAGTGGTGCATTCTTATTTAAAGAAATTAAATGCAAGGAAAATTTATTTCCATTTGAAAGCCCAGAGGAAAATATTTTTAAATAAAAATGTCTTTGCACCATTAAACATTCCTAAAATAGGGCTAGGCAATATTGTAGTACTATGTCGTGGAAGTTGGCTTTTAAGTACTGCTTTTCCTCTAATTTCCTTTAATCCCCTCTCTTTAAAAGTCTTCAGACTGTCCCAGATTGTTTGTTTTAAAATCTACGCTACAGGTGCCACCTAAGGTAATGGCTTCTAGCCGAATGCATTTCCAAGCTTTACTAACCTTAGCAGACACTGTGGCAATGTGAGGACAGCCGACTCCGTGTGTCGCCTGCACGCTGGCTTCTGCGAGACAGTTTGTCTGGAAGGCTTTTTCCCTCTTCTCTATTGCTCAACTGGATTAGGTAATAAGAACAAGAGTCCTGGTCTCCTCTGTCAAATAGGTGACTCCCAAAGTGTCTGGGGGCAGGACTGGTCTCCTCTTTGCCTAATGTCACTGAGCTTCAGCATTGAAACCCACAAATCAATGTTCAGATATATAAACAACCTGGCAGAATGAAACAACTGGGAAAATAATGATTTAAAGCTAATAGTAAATACCACCTAAATGGTACCTTGTGATGCTTCCTCTTTTAGTGTAAGTAAAACCAAAGCTGTTTCTGGTGGGTGTTTTTTAAAATCCATTGTACTTATCTCCAGAATCTGATTGCAGGGCACATAGGCTTGTTGTGTGTTGACTGACTTTTAAAATAGTCACATTGCCATTTTTATTCCTTGTAATATCACTTTGTATTTAATTTATGAAATGATCATCTTATCAGAAGCACATTCTTTGAAAAACTCAAATTGTGCCATGTTATACTAATGGCGAACACTGAGGGTACTTAACTACAGGCCAGACATCATTCTAAGAACTTTATGTGGATTATTTAAATTAATCTTCATAACAACTATTTGAGATAAATATTATTGTTTTCCTAACATTGCGAATGGCAAAAGTAGCAAGGATAGGCAACAGGACTAGGAGTTTAATTGTTCAGGGTCAGAGTGCTAAACTACAGTTGAATCAATTGTGATACTTTTTTCTGCAAGTAACAGAATATACCAATAAAAGCAGCTTAATATAAGGGGTAACATATGTGTACTTGCCAAATAATATTAAGAAATAATTATTAGCTTCTAAAGTTCTAGCTCTTTCCAAAGCAGTCATTTAAAAATATTGGGCTATCATACCATCTTTATATCACAATTATTTGCTCAAACTACATAGTGTGTATGTATATGTAATCAACTCAAAAT